GTTTGAGTTACTAATATTCAACATTTAACCTGGTAAAAAATATTTATTTATTGTTATCCGTGTTATATTTCATCTGCAACAGCAATGTGAACTTTTATAAACATCCATTTGGTCGTTAACTTTTAAATGCATCATTATGCATAAAATATGAGCAGAGTTCTCAGCATGAATGACCCGCGACGGCAGATCAATGAGCTACTTCTTTTCTCTCCAGTACGGTAGGAAGTTAAATGAAATGAAATGTGGAGGATGTTAACTGTGACAAGATGATTGACAGGCCAGTTTACAGTGACAGGGTGCCTATAACAGGTGCGACAGAGAGGTCCTTTAAAGACGCAGTATATCCCAAAGCTTGCCTGCTCTTCTACTACACACTCAAAAATGTGTACTTTTTCTTCACCAAAAGAGTACATACTTTAAGGGCGTAGTATAAGTAGGCACATTGAGACAGCACTTGATTTGGCAGACTACGTTTTTTTTTTTTTATAAATATGTAAAATATTTTTTTAAAGAAAATATTACAAATAAAAAATATATACATTTTTTTTTTTTAATATAAAAAAAAATTAATAGGCCTATTTTGCCAACTACCATTCATTCTTTCTTTTGTTTTTTTAGCTTTTTAATAAGACGGTGTGTGTATAACAAACTCTGAACAGTTACAACATTTAGACTTTTTGATTGTCTTAAAACCAACAAATAATGTTAAAATGACTTTTAAACATTTTAGTACTATTGGTATTCGAGTAATTTTGTATAAACTATTTTGAATAATATAAAGACCCGGACAGTGTTCGTCACATCATTGACTCTTATGCAGATTTTTGTGTCGGATGGATACAGAGTCTCATTAGGGTGTCTCACAGATGATCGCGTCTTTGAGATAAACGTCCAGAGCTCTTGCCATCTTCACAGGGAATTCACATCACTTCAAGGCAGCTGTCAGGTTCAGTTGCGCGACTGAACAACACAAATATCGAACTCAAATATCAAAACCTTTAAGAAGAAGTTGAAAACGACAGCCTGGTATTAAGCTCTTCGGAAAATCCCTACTTCAGTTAATCAGTGAGTCACTGGAAAGCACTGCAGTAGTAACTGGTGTAACGGAGCGAAGCAGATGGAGGGATACGGACAGCTCCTTCGAAAGTATGAATGAAAACCGAGGCGAATCAATGCGAACAACACCTGTGCTGAAAAAGCACGTGTTTAAATGTACTCTGACGGGGACATGAGTTGAAACAGGCTTAGATACAGTTCAGAAACATTATATGAAAGGAGAATAGTGGTCGCGTGCACGGATTTGTATTCTCTCGCACATGCACGCGCTCCTTTGCTGCGGCTCTTGTTCACACAGATTTGTAAAATACAGCATCAAAACCGTTTGATCGTCAGTCTGCATTTAGTCTTTGCTCATGCAAAACATAAAACATGCTGTTCAGCTTCGTTTACCAGCTCCGTTGTCATGTTCTGCTGTGTGGAGGCAATCATGTTTGCAGGATTCAGCACAGATCCAGCTTCTAATGCAGTTCACTGCTCTTCCAGCACTTCAGAGCCTTGTTTGAGTTCGTGCTGCAAGTTGCTCTAGACACCCCACTGGCGGATCCCTTTAATAGGATGGTGTTGGCCATCTCTCTCTCTCTCTCTCTCTCTCTCTCTCTCTCTCTCCTCCACAGTTACAGTGTCAGTGCCTATTGACCAACTAGGATATTAATCAAGACAACACGCTGCTTGTGGCTTCTGCCCCTTTTTCTAATTTGTCTGAGGCATCAGTCAGTGAGCTTAGATAGATAGATAGATTATAGATAGATAGATAGATAGATGGAACATAAGCATAAATAATCACTTATGCATCTACAGAAAGGAAATATTATTTAATTTATTTATCTAATTAATTTATGTTTGGCCCACTTAAATTACCAGCATTAAAAACAGCCATAGGACAAGGTTTCTGAATCTTAGATGCCACAGATGTATATAAAGACCCACTTTATACTGTGAAATTTACTATATGGGTACAATTTTATTTGGAAAATATTTATTTTCATTTACATTACATTATTACATTTCTTTTTTCTAAAACACTTTGTACTATTATATGCATTGTTTGTTTATTTATAAAAAAATATTTAAATGACTTATTTTAATATTTTTTATTTTAGTCAAATGCATTTATTTAGTTAAATCTTATTTTTTTATTATATATTCATTATCTATAATTATTTCTATTATTACAATGCTGTTTCTCTGAATTTTTTTCATGGACCTCTCCCATATTTTCGCTAGGTTTAAGTGAAGATTAATTTTACTTTTTTTTTTAATTTTTTTAAAGAAACTACATTATGCCCAGTTTCACATTTTATACACTATTTAGTACGCAATTATATACATATTTTGAAATTGTTAAGTGTACAACAAGCAGTACAGCAGACGCACCGCCTGTACGTACTGCGTCGACGCGCATACGTCAACACGCCCGGCCGCCGTTGATTGGCTGGCGGGTAAATTTGAAACGCAACTCCTCTAGACGCTAACGTTAACAACATATCCGGGTAAACCAACCTGGTTGAACAAACCGGTGCGGTGCTGTTGTCCCTGGGGGAAATTTTTTTGAATCACATTGTTTCATACACAAGGCTGGGCGTCTACACAAATCCGTAAGTTAAAATATCTGGTGACTTGCTTTAATGAATTAGTGTTTGTTTCTAACGACGAGTCGTTTGTAAGACCCATGCTAGTGTTTTACTGTATTTCCATCGTTCAACATTTATCATATCGTGATTTAAATGCGGGAGAGGTTATGTTATCTACAATTTTAGCCTCATATTGCCAGCAAAAAACGAGTTTGATACTATATTTATTAGCATTATTGTGTTGCCTAGTACACTTTTCAAAGGATTAAAAAAAAAAGAAGTTATTAGTATTTAACATCGTCACTTTATTATGCACTTTTACTCTTAGATTTTTTTGTATTAACTTTACTACTACTATTATTATTATGTAGTATATTTTATTCGGATACATATTAATATTCATTATTTGGCCACGCCCCCAAAATGATGTATTGCTGAAAAGCCACACAGTGTCCAAACAGTGGCATGTATGGTCGCGAGATATTAACAATAATCATATGCCAACTTCAAATAAGTTGCTGGGTCTCAGAATGATATACGTTAACTAGAAGCAAAATAAATCTACCTTATATGATTTGGTATACACACTTTTAAATGTTTTTTCTGCAATACAGGAGGACATGGACACTGCTGTGATCAATCTTCACAGCATTTTTGAAAGCATGCGGGCACAAGTTGATGTTCTCAATGAAAGCATTGAGCCCCGTAAGTACTTGTTGTGGTTTGAAAATGTAAAATAAAATACATACATACACTAAATATTCACTACCATTCTTTATTTCTTTGTCAGAGTTCATTCAGATGGCTTTGAATTTTGAGAACAGCCGTCGTAAATGGCTGAGACTCGAGCAGGAGCTGAATGCTTGTAAGGAGGTGCTCACCAAGGCTGAGACAGAGCGAGGAGCTCTAGAGGTCAAGCTCAAACATGCCCGCAACCAAGTAGATGTGGAGATCCGTAGGAGACAGAAAGCTGAGGCTGACTGTGCAAAACTGGTTTGTAGGCCTCTTTTTGCATGTTGCTTGTTGTAGACCTCTGAATTTAGGCTAAAACCAGACGTTTTCTTGAACTGCAGGACCGTCAGATCCAGCTAATTCGGGAGCTGTTGGTGTCTGAAGGGTCCAGTAACAGCATCCAGTTAAATGAGGAGCAGCGCTCAGCTCTGGCCTTTCTGAACGCCCGTTCCCAGAATCCTGCAAACCTCAACACTAGCCGACGGTAAGAGAATGATCATGAAATCACATTATCAACCTATTTTACTTCTGTAATATGATGGATTTCTAAGAAAACCTGGTTATTCTTTAAAGGGGTCATATGATGCGATTTCAAGTTTTCCTTTCTCTTTGGAGTGTTACAAGCTGTTCGTGACTTTTCAGACTGATGAGCTTTGTAAAAAACAGTCTATGGTAAAAATCGACGCGTTTCAGAAAGGCGGGCATAGAGGAGAAACAATAATGTACAGTATGTGAAAAATAATGTGTTTTTTTTAACCTTAAACCACATAAACACATTTCATTACACCAAATACACAAAATAATGTTCTTTTTAGCAACATCATATGAACCCTTTAAGAAATCTTTCAGGATTTGATTGGAATCATAAAATCTTTTAGATGCCGTGGACGACCCAAATATGAACGTCCTTTTGTGAGGGGACCTCATTGTAAAATTTAACAGGCATCTATACAATTGCTTTTATAAACACCCCATATATACTGTGAAAAATTTATGCTATAATCAAATAATGCTATTTTTCTTTCTTTCTTTGGACTTTAAAGCCTTTTTAATGGACTATATCTTATTCATAATTGCGTGAATGTCATAAAAGACAAAAGAGCTGGTTTTCACGATTGAATTGTTTCTTACTACTGTAGGCTGTAACTTGTCTTATCTTCATTTTGTTTTTTTCACACACTTTACTAGACTGGCCACCATTGATGAATCAGCCTCTATCTTGTCAGACATCAGTTATGATAAAACTGATGATTCTTTGGTATGTCTTTTCCTTGAATATTAAAAACATCATTCTTATATGTAGGCTATTCCTGTCTCAAACCTGACAGGGAGAAAGTGAAACATTTAAAAAAAAAAAAAAGAATATAACATTTAAATTTTTAGACTGCTATTGATTGAGTTTTGTTGTTGCAGTAATTTATTTTTAAATTAACCTTTCTTTGAAAAAAGGACTGGGACTCTTCTGCAATCAGGGCTGTTCGTCTCAAGAAACGGCAAAAGAGAGTAAGCTTCCCAACAAAGCCGTATTTAATTAAATTACTTCCAAATTTCAATCAATATCTGATCATTTAATCTGTCTCAATGCAGCGCTCCTCCCGAAACCACACAGACGGCCCCCCTGCTGCTGCCAAGAGGTCCCGTTCCACCGGCCGTACCTCTGAGAAAGTAAGATTGGGTTACATAAGCACAAGAATGACTCTTCCGTTTAAAGGCTCCCTGCAGGGCTTTGCTTTAGTCATTACGAGTAAAATGTTTCCATCAGTCCTTACAGCCCATAGGAGTGTGAATATTGGAAGGTTTTGTCTTCTCTTGACATCGTGAGAGCCAACAAGCTATTCCCTGATTGATTTTGATGTCTGTATGCTGTTAATGTCCAGTTAATACTGCCATATTTTAGCTGAATGTGTAATCGGTTAGAAATTATTTGACAATTAATTCGAATCACGTTTTCTCAGGGTAATGAGTCTCTGGTGGCTAAGACCACCATGACGGTGCCTGCTGATGGCGGACCCATTGAAGCTGTCACCACAGTGGAGGCTGTTCCTTACTGGACCCGGAGCCGCCGAAAAACTGGTAAGCCCACTTCACTAAATGTATTGTCATTTGTGAGTGCTCAGTGCAGAGCAAGAGAATATTTGCACTTCTTTTCTGCGAGGGCTGTTTTGTATGGGATGTTTTTCCTGATCATTTCTCACACCCCAAGCCTTTGCATTTCTGTTTAACTATTCTGCAGTAGTGAGCAGTGCTTCTCTCTGCTTTGTTCTTCAGCTGCTCTGGAGTGGGACACTGCTGACACAGACTCTGTTCAGTGTATGTCAAATATTTGCAGAGATATAGCCTCGGATGCAGTTTGGCACTATGCCTAAAATTTGTAGTGGCGCTGTGCAAAAACGGTTTCGTCTATCGACACGAAATCCATAACTTTCTGTCATCTCTCAAATCAATGCAATGTTAGTTCCATTTATAATTTGATTGCATAAGTCAGGGCTTTTTAAAATTGGGTTCATGAAGGATATATAGCTGAATGAAAAGCTAATAAATATTAATTAAATGTGAAGTTTTAAAATGAATTAAAACATTTAAACACTTGCTAAAAAGATATTTGATTAATTTACAAATATTCACAAATTTAATTTATTTGCCTACATCTGACCATTAACCGACATTAGAGAACTGTTAAATGATAAAATCTCTTTAAAGTCACAAAAAGGAGGTAGTGACAGATCTTTCTTCAGTATTGTGATGTACACACCAAGTAAAGTTTTCAAAGCAATAAAACTGTATCACTCCAATTATAGTCAATGAAATTATCTACATAGGTCTGTGTTTTTAGCCCTCACAGCTCATATCTGCCTGGCTCTTGTAATTTTTCTTAGGTGATCAAGCCAGAGTCTTGTGTACCATGTGGTAAGAGGATCAAATTTGGGAAGATCTCCCTAAAGTGCAGGGACTGCCGTGTGGTGGCCCACCCCGAGTGCCGTGAGCGCTGCCCTCTGCCCTGCATTCCAACCATGACTGGGACTCCAGTGAAATTTGAGGAGGTGACAAATCTCTATCATCCAACTTGAGTATAAGCATACCTTTAAGCATAAATTATTCACTGATTGCTTCTGGTGTCTGTTTTTTTTTCTTTTCGATAGGGCATCCTAGCAAATTATGTGTCCACCTCCTCTCCCATGATTCCTTCGCTAGTGGTGCACTGCGTTAATGAGATTGAGCAGAGAGGCCTGCATGAGGTAAGTCAATAAAGATGCTGAAATCTTTAATACTAGACAAGACCAGTCCTGCATAAAACCTGCATATTGCTTTGATAGACTGGTCTGTACCGAGTGTCTGGCTCTGATCGAGTGGTCAAGGACCTGAAAGAGAAGTTCCTGCGTGGGAAGACCGTTCCCTTGCTCAGCAAGGTGGAAGATATCCATGCCATCACTGGTCTCCTCAAGGACTTCCTGAGGAACCTCAAAGAACCCCTGCTGACCTTCCGCCTCAACCGTGCCTTCATGGATGCTGCTGGTTAGTGTCTGTCTGAATGTACACCACACTTCAAAATAGGGGTGTGTGATATTGACAAAAAATTATATCTATTTTCTTGAATTTTATCGATAACTATATTTAGACGATAATTTGCTGAGTGTGTTATTGTGCTGGTATCTTAAGGACTACCGTGGACAGCTGACTCCTAAAGTTTTTGACTTTGACTACACTGATAGAAATTAATCTTTTCCAATACATTTAAATAGATTTTTACCTTTTATGGGCATTTTTACCTTTATAAAGCCATTTTTCTAAAAGTGTGCATTATCTTTTGAGTCAAATTCTTACATTTAATCAGTGAATTAGAATAATAAGAATTTGGGCTGTTACCAAGCAAATTAAGTCAGTATCAATAAAATTCATCTTTGCAATGCAGAGGAAACACAGAAGCTGCATCTGAAGTGGCATTTAGATGTATTTACACACTACTGTTTAGTGCAGGACATGAATGCATTTAACCTGCACTTGCAAATGCATAAATAATGTTTTGATATATTAAACATAAAACGTTGAATACTGTTATTTGAAATTATTTAAATAATAAAAATAATTTTGAAATGTGAAATAAAAAACCGCCAGCAGGTGGCAGCAAGCAAGTCACTGTTAATAAGTGAGTCATTGCGATTGAACCGAATCATTTAAACGGTTGATTCATTCAAGAACGAAACACCGTCATGTTGCTCAGAGACGCAAAACAGCGCTGTGGCTTTGTTTGGAATTATTTTTGTTGGCGAAATAGTGCAAAAACAGGCA